GTTCCCGAAAGGCCGGAGCCAACTGCAATAGTTATATCGAATGGTAATTGCCCTTTCGCTGACTTTGGAAACATTTGTTCTAGACGGAGTCCTTCTTTGTAAATATTGGATGTAATCCAATTAGGATAATGAGTTTCGAGAAATCGAACTCGTCGTGTTAAAGCATGTGACGTATAAAAATGCAGTGGGATGACATGGTCACGTAACCGTTGCCGTGTGAAACCAATCTCGCGATCAAGCCGAGGTTGTCGCGCTGGTACTACTAGTACGCAAGCCCGAGTCAGCCCAGTGCCCCTCAAAGCTATTTCGGGCCGAGCTGGGTATGCTCGCAACCCAAACCACCGGACCAGCGCGGGAACTTGAAGCACTAAGAAAGAACACATCACCTACAAATCTTTGAATATGGTAACCAACCGTATGCGAGTTAGATGCTTCAAAGTCAAATTTTCGCTAGCACATGTTTTTGACACCAATAAACTTGCCACTACCATCCTTCACATTCATTGCAAATGGACCTTGCCGAGTGTCCTCACCATCTAGCAAGCCTGTGTAACCATGTCAGGTCTCGCTGCAGTAGTGTCAGCTGGTAATAACGCATTTGGGTCTTTTGTCACTCACGCCGTCTACTTCTCGCATATCAAATCTATCTCGCAAGAACGAGTATGAGTTTCCATCAAGATATTCAAAATCGAAATTTTCGAATCTTGGGCATTGAAGGACGGTGAGTACTGATGTGAAATATAGTAAAAAGTAAACATTCTGGTGGCTGGTGTGAAAGTAAGAACTTACAGTGGATTGGAGATCCGGGCCAAAGTACTGGTTTATTCGAGATCTTGCCATTGCGGGACCATGAGTTACAGGGACTATTATGGAAGTTATGATTTGAATCGGAGAGGATATTGTGGGTATCAATTGCTCACCCGGACCAACCCGTCAGTTTTAGGTACTCATCTGGATAGCGGGTAAAGTCTTCAGAAACTGATCTCTTGACAGATAACCTCTTCACGCTATTTTTCCGTGCTCTCTCAATTATTTGAAGCACGTGCTCTGTAACGTGTTCGATAATTGGTTGAACAGAACCATGTCCTATGATGTTTAATGACTCCTTTTCGTAAGCTGATTGCAATAAGACTAACCCAATGACCCATATGCGCCAAGAAAACAAAAATAATTAGGAACTTCAGCTAGGTGGAGGATAACTGAGACACGTCTGTCAATATATTGATAGGTTACGACAGCTGTTGCATACGATATATGTAAGACCTGAGTACCCCTTGATGTCGCCACGGAAGTTGTCTTGGAGATTTTTGCCATTAAAGAGCACTTTGGAAGGCGGCATGAATGATGTATCGAAGCTGATGATTTCCTGGTCAATGTGTGTCCTTTACAGCTGCTAGTAAATTATACATACCCCGTGGCGCAGATGATCGTGTCTACCTCGCGTTCTTGTTACACTGGCGCCCAACTCAGCCAGGCTACGTGAGATAGAAGGTCCTGATATCACAGGTGTTAGGTTTACAACTTTCAATCCAGCCAGCGGTCTTCAAAGTGATGTATTTCCAGTCGATGGCCACCAGCTGGCTGCCTGCCCAGCAAACTCCATTTGATGAAGTTCGTACAAGGCTGAGTTTGCATTTGCGCGTCCATGTTCGCTGATGAGAAAATCCTCTCGTTTCCACACAATAATGCAGGCTTGTTTCGCATCTTCATTTAACAGCGTTTCAAGGTCAGTCGCCGTACGGCCTGAACATATCCCGATACACGGTTTGTAAGATTCTGGTAGAGCAGTGATCTCTGGCAAGTCCTTAGGCATCCCAAGTGCAGCAATAGTAGGACCGGGATCAAAACTCCCTCGATTTTATAGTTAGCAAAGGAGCTAATCCTGCATTTTGCCCATTTTACTTGTCATGAATATGAATAAATTGGTTGTCTGATGTTTTATGAATGTTTGTCACCGCTCGACGATACAGCGAAGAGGCTCTATTGTGAATATCTTGAGGTGGGAATAGTTCTGCAGATTTGACATTGGGTTCCCTGATAGGTGTTGGGTTTACATCAAATTCTTCGCGGGGTTCGACGGATACCAGAAGCGAGCTCATAATCAATAGTTGAGCATGATCCCTGCACAGTTTAAGCAAATAGCAGCAGCCAGGAAAGTAATTATTGGTTCATGGATGTATTTCTTTCAACAGGTAATGGAGCGGTGTTGTATTTTCGGCCGGTGAGGACATTGATTATGGCAGCTTCAAATCCTTTGAGTGCAGCCATGCTCTCGACAAGTCGCCAATTCACCACGATAGAAGGAAGCCGGGAGCCAACGTCTTTGACAGTAGCAGCGCATTGCTGTATTTCTGAAAGGAGCTTGTTTTTGCAAAGCATTTCGGATTATTCCTCGCTGTAGTAGACGCAACGACTGATTGGGGATTGAGTAGCTGTCAATTGCAGCCATGAAGTGAATCCATTGAACCGGCGGAAATATCGTCCAGAAACTGCAATCTAGGATAGCAATGTCGATTATCACGAGAGCTTGGCGAAAGTGCAGAATAACCAAAATCATTGCCTGGATATAAATGAGGACTATTCTTCCCGATGAGCGTCAGGCCAACCTTCGAAGCTGACAGTACTCACTCGGCCCGAGTCGGGAGTCTGCTGAAGTTTACACGGAACAACACTATTCAGAAAACGCTATGCCATGTTATCACCAATGGGAATGTTATTCTCCAGAACCCAATAAATATTTATTGGTGATGCAATGATTCATGATACTGAATGAGCTGAGTTGGTAATAGAATCTCTTTCTTGGTATTTGGATACCAGTATGGCGCTACTACAACAACTAGTAAGCGAAGCCTCTAGAAGAGCCCCAACTAATCTTGGGCTTGTCATCTCTCTTGTGGTTGTTCTCTATCGCTTTTTGAAGATAGGTTCTAGACCTAAAGACTACCCACCAGGTGCGTTCTAATCTCACACCAAACGCAACATTTGTTGACCGCAAAGGCCCACCGGCACTTCCATTCGTTGGCAACTTGCACCAAATCCCAAAGAGGAACATTCATTTGCAATATGAGAAATGGGCAAAACAATGTAAGCAACCAAGGCACCGTAGGTTAATGCAATTTAGCTGATATCTTCACTTACTAGATGGACCGATATTCCCGTTAAAATTAGGGCAGTCAACGATTAAGGTCTGGCGGATGGCCAGGTCATTCATGGTCTTGTTGACTTGAGAGGCTCTAACTATGCAGACAGATCTGAGCTATGGGTCCGCGGGTTATTTGATAATTCCAGAATCATTATGTGAGGTTGTGATGATCTATGGCATGTAGAGCGCAAACTCTAACACATGGACCTCAACCTTACTGTCGCAAGGAAATGTTAAATGTTAAATGTGAAAGGTGAAGGTAAAATTTTTGGGTGGCTGGGCCCAGCCACCAAATATTTCACCTATATATACTCGCGCTCCTACTATAATAGTTAGCCAATCAATTCATTATCTAACAGGAAAAACCTTCCTTACCAAGAATTGGAAATACTCCAGATGCTAACCCAAATACACACTGACATGGAAAACTTTGTTCTCCATGTGGGCCGAATGACGGAAAGCATGGCTACAATTATCGCCTATGGGTTTCGTTTGCCCAATACCACAGATCCTTTAACCCACGAGATGCTAGAAAACTCACATGGATTCTTCCAGTGTATCATCAAGTCCAAAATTCTGGACTGGTACCCTTCATTAAAGCCGTCCGTGAATCTAATACCTCGCGCAATGAATCAATGGGCGAAGGAAGCTTTAGCTGCATATGAGAACGAGAAAAGAATTTTTGAGAAATCCTACAAAAGAAGCCTTTAGAGCCGACTTCCATGTTTTGCCACCAACATAGAGGCTTCGAAATCGAAAATAGAGCTCTTGATTGACCATGCGGCTGTCTACATTGTAGGCATTGCATTCGGAGGAGCGGATACTACTCGATACACTCTCCAAAGGATTTTCAAAGCTATGGTATTGTTTCCAGAGCTCCAGAAAGCCGCTCAAGCTGAGATTGATAAGGTATTTGGCCTCTCAAAGTTACCATCTGGTGAACATCTCATATCTCTGAAATACATCCGTTGCACAGCCAAGGAACTAGTGAGGGGGTTGCCTACTGCAATCAATGGAGCTATACTCCATGCAGCTGTCGCAGAAGACACATACCGCGGATATCCTATTCTTGCTGGAGCCTCCATTGTGGTCGCCGTCTGGTCAGCGAGTCACAATCCTCAGGACTTTGAGGATCCCAGGACCTTCCGCTCAGAAAGACAGGATCCAGATATCAGCCTACTAGAGGCTTTGAATGCTGCTTCAACCAAGAATTGGGGGTTTTATGGATTTGATTCTGGGCACCGCATCTGCCCAGTAGTTTATGTCGCAGAAAACACACTCTTAATTGCGATAGCACGTGTTTTGTGGGCACTTAATATCAGCACAGCGGAAGATAGGAGTGTTAACTTGATTGAAATTGATCGAGATGCTATGGCAGGAGGACTAGCAGCTATGCCAGCGCCTTTCAAGTAAGATTTTATTCTAGTTTATAAATTACACTATATAAATTCATGTAGCTAACCTTTGCTTCAGGTGCAAGATTGTTCCACGTAGTGCTGGACGCATAGTCCTGATCGATAAAGAGTGAAAAAACCTAGCAGCGGATTGTCTCGATGCAGATGGAAATGACAAGCAAATTATATTCAACAAACTCTGACACTTTGTTAATAACAGTGTGGATAAATCTGATTGCGTGACTATGTAATGCGGTGCTTGGTCTTTCGACCTATTGTGCTAAACATGAATCATGGAAGAAATTATTTTGAACATCGAATATCTTGACCATTGACCCAATTACCGTGCAGTCCAGCCCTTAAGCGAAGAGGAAGATATATAATAGCCTGTGCTTTTTCAAACTGTCTGGTGCTAACAATATGTAACTCGCTCGACATGGTGGAGTAATTGTTTACCAGCGCCATTATCCAGCCATCACCCTCACTGGCGTGATGCCTCGCAATGTAAACAGGTTCTTGAACAAGGTGAGTCCGACCGGGGAAGTATTTTTCCATGCGCATTGTACTGTAGTCGAGATGTCCAATTGAATTATATGGTGGGTAACCCCCTCCCATGACTGGTGCAATTGCTGCGAAATCGGTTCCCAGGTTTGGGTCCATAATATCCATAAAGGCATGGCTATGCATCTTACCAAAAAATCGATCGTCGATACGTGGAAACTCACAGTCTTCGTGACCAATGACCAAAGGTTTTGGAAGATCAAGGTCAGTGGACTTTGGATCAAACGTGAAGCGAACGAGTTCTGCGGCAATCTGCTCGGGCTGGGGCGCATTTCCATTGGCATCGGGCCACCAGAAAAAGGCATTTTTGTTGGTCAAAGGAAGGTCAAATACAATGTTTCCCAAATCGTCCTCATAGGCGTTGACAGTATGTCCGGGGAAGGCGTTTGGAGCGCGAAACCACTTCACATCAGATCCCAACGCGCCATGGCGAGGTAGGACGCCGAGATAGAATGGGATATTTGGATCCCACTGCCAATGTTCGCCACCTTGCTTCATTCTTTCAAGTTCACAGGTCTGTGGAATGATTGGGAACAGTACCTTGGTTGTGTCAGCATTTCAAACACTCAGCAGAAGGGGGCATTTCAGACCCAGTTCTTTGTAAAAGCAAAGTCATGAATCATAGCAACCACAGGAGCAACAAGCCACACGGTTTGGGTAAATTTGCCCTGAGCATCGATGGTGAAATAGCAGACGTCCGGGGTGCCGTCGCCCTTCGCTTCGTACCCAAAGCATATTAGCTCGTTTGTCTCTTCGTCGAGTTTCGGATGCGCAGTGAAGGTTAAGCAAGGCAGTTGCCCATTGAATAATTCCAACCCGATAGTCTCGAGTGTCACTGGATCGAGTGAATATGGAGGAGAGTCTTCTTTGCATGCCAAGAGACGGCCATTGAAGAAGACAATGTTAGTATTTGCTGTACTTCGCACTTTGAATTCAACGGCATCAGTGTACTTGTTACGATATGTCCCTGAAATACAAGAACAAGTCAGATATTCTGGCCGAAATAGGAAAAGGAGCATGTTTACCTATTAGGGCACGTTGAGCCTCTCTTTCTCTAGCAAACTTTTCCGTCACTACATATCTTTGCTTGAAGTGACAACGTCCGTCTTTGATCCGAAAAGCGCTGACGTTGCCATCCCCGTTGAACCACTAGGTTGAACGGATTAGTGGCGATAGAGCAACCGAACAGATAACCATGGCTTTCGCTTACCGGATCGTTCTCGGCGAAGGGGGGAAACTGTGGGTCTGGCATGACCCGGTAGAATGTTCCGTGTATCTCATGAGGTATCTCGCCCCATACCTCGAGATTCTGGATCTCTCCTTCGAATCTACATGGCTTCATAAACCCTGAAAACTGGGGCTTCTGAGGGAACATGTTGCCAACTCTACTTGCTCGGGATTGATCTGACATTCTTGGTTGAGACTGGGTTCACATATGCAAAGGAAGATGTGAGTAGTTCTGACGTTCCCTTATACTAGCATCCAGCGATGGATCTGGTTGAATGTACCCAGGTCCAAAACCAAGCGTTGGTCCAGCGGCTGAACCAGACGTGTTCATGTGGCAGCCCGACGGTTCTAACTCCCCGGCACTTCCGGCCCACTAGTGGCAAATTTAGTACCAGATTGAAAACCATCACCAGAAACCAAGCCCCGATACCGGAATCCTTACCGGCGTGTCCATGCTCCTGAAATTGTGGTCCTAAAATCAGAGTTTCAAAGTCATATTCTTGGCTGTAGAATGTCTCGAGCATTTGGATGACATAATTGCGTATCCGGTGAGGCATTCGATCTAATAACTGCAAAACGGGGCATATTTGACTTGGACATTCAATTCATTGGTAAACATCAGCGCATGATTAACATAAGCGCGCATCGTGTTTTCTTCAACATCCTGGCAAGCAATTTTGGTTTTCGGCTTTTCTAGCTAAATCTAGCCGTTGATGTTACGGTGCTTGTACTCTCTTCTCAACTTTGACCCAAAGAAATAAAACGGGTATTGCCAACAGGGTACCCGTTGAAACTAACATAATCATAATCTTGTAAACCTGCACCCATCCCTGCGCAGCAATCCAATCAGTGGCAGTAAATAAAAATAAGAAGGCGACCAGGATCTTGAAAATGTTGATAGTCACCAGGCTTTCAGTAGCAAATGTTTGATAACCCTCAGCCACATAGGTGATCACGATATTTGGTGCGTAAACAGTCCCGAACGATACTGCTATTATGTCAGTAATAGCTGACCGGGGACAAGAGAGCGATTTACCCATTCCGAAGCCGAAAGCAATAGCAACCCAGTGCAGCTTTTCCGAGCATGCAAAAGCGACTACAATGCACCCGGCTGGCGCAACGAATCCCCCGGAAATAAGGGATATAAGCCGCTGCTCTGAATATACAGCTCCATCATGCCGCCTGATTACAGCTGCGGTGATCAGGTCAGCAACATATCCACCCATGAAACAGCTCACTAAGAAGCCGATGATTGCGGGGATCTACATAAGACCTACTCCAATGGACGAGAATAGGCACGGGGGAGATTGGAGCAGACTTGGAAAAGCGAAACTGGGTCGTCGTTAGGGCATGTGTCTAAAGGCAGGTTTTAGATGGCAACGTACATCAGAATAATCTGAGCAGCAAGCGAGGTTCCATATACAAATATGGAAAACATAACGCTAGGGCTTAATAGCATCTTCAAAGGACGAAGGAAGATCGCGATAAATCCGGTGTCATGATTGATTGTGACGATATTGGCCCATATGCTCAACCATGGCTTGGGGACGATGTCAATGTAATGTCGGTTGGTGGTTTCCGTTCTGAAAATAGTTTCCTTTTCTACTTCCGGATCTCTTCCACGGTGGGAATCGGGTTGAATGCTGCGAGAAAGTGCCTCTGGTCTGACGAAGTTCGATTCAGGGCACGGAAGGTAAATGGCCACCAGGTTCGCGCCGGCCAAGGCTGCACAAACCCACACGTAGTCAACCCAGCTGCCAGGGCTATACTGTACTATGAATGCAGCAACCAGTGGACCTATAGCTGTCGCCATGGACACGAGAATTGTGTAACTATCAACACGACTATTTAGTATGAAGGTATATGCGATACGAAATGGTGGTCTGACTTGCCCGGACATCATGGCAGCGCGTTGATGAAGAAAAAGGATATCTGAGACTATGCCAGGGGCGATGCTGTATCTCCTTATCAGTATCCATAGTGTCCATACGAGAGGGCGCCTGTTTAACTCACCGGCGGCAGCGGCGAAGCCAGACAAGCATCTTGCAGCCAGCAGTCCATTGTAAGTTGTCGTCTTGGCTGTTGCAATGAGAACAATGAAGAGCATCAGCGTTGCGAGGATTATTGAAGCCCGTTTACCATACTTGACACCCAGCGGCACCCAGACGAGGTTATCAATGCCCAGAAGGAGAAAATTGTGCTGTCTGAAGCGTAAGCATTCTTAAATGACTACAATCGTGTGCGTAGTTTGATTCAATAGCAGTAAGAAGACTATGAACTTGGTTAGGCGACTTTTGAAATTGTGCCTGAAGTACTGGTGTCGCGACAGAGAGACCAGAGCTTCAGAAGTTTCCCGTAAAGTTGAAGAAAGCCGTGGCAGCAAAGGCGGCTAGTTTCAGCTTGCGTGGCCGTCTCAACGGATCCCTGTAGTCGTCACTTGGTTGTGGCAAGAGAGGCAGTCCGTGGTGGTGGGCCACAACGGTCTGAACAACTCCATCTCTAACGAGCTGTGAGGAGGCCATGCTGGATGGGTAGTCACATGCAAAAGATGATAGTGAGGATTCAAGTAGCTGGTCAAGAGAAGCTTGCTACATTTGTTAGGGAGGAGTTGCAGCACCTCTAAATTGGCTTTGCATAAGATTGCTGAACCTAGGGTACCCCGTTGATTTCTACATTCCCAAACATGCGGGGTATTCGTAGCATACGTTAGGTCTATAGTGCAGAAAGCCGGAGCACCGGGGAGTTAAGAGTGAACCACACAACAAGCGAGGCCGCTCTAGTCCTCTGGTCAATAACGATAAAGTTGTTCAGCATCTTCCCCAAGATCATTGTGCACTAATAGGTTTCGCGACGCATGCAATTTTAGAATAGTTGTGCATAGATTAAGAATTACGATAAACTCCCCTACGGCCCGTATATGCGCATCTAGTCTCGGATCTATAGGTCTTGCTCACTGCTGAACTACTATAATCACTCGAGAAGGATAACTGCTGATGAGAAACTTATCTCCCCGGACAGAGCGGTGTTAGTGATCGAGACTATCCTCCCATTTTAACCCTAGTCTAATCATATTTTATTGTTGTCCAGACGACGACTATCGTACATATTCAAGGCCAGAACTAGGTAACCATCTACCTCGCCTCTTTTCTTGACACAAGACTGTAGTTTCAGCAGAACATCTAACAGTATTAGACAACATGTCCGCCGCAACAGTAGATGCACCAAAAGTGAATGGTCTAAGTTCTAATAGCGATTCACACCACTTACAAGCGTCCATTAAGGGTAAAGAGACTGCAAGAAGCCATCGCACGGTAAATCTGCCAACAACCTACCCGTCCCAGGCTCTTCGATTCCTCGAGAGAGTGGGCACCGAAGACTCAACTTCCGACAAAATCAATCATACCCAGCCATCGCCTCAGCAAGCCACTGTCAAATTGAATGTCGTGATTGTGGGTGCAGGACTATGTGGACTGTCACTTGCCGTTGCTCTCAGCAGACGAGGACATACGGTCCAGCTACTGGAGCAGGCTTCCCTGCTCGGAGAGGTGAGAAAAAGTGTTTCTTTCTTGAAAGTACACGCCTGCTCACGCTCTTATAGGTTGGTGCGGGCATTCAGATTCCTCCCAACTCTGGACGACTACTCCAGCGCTGGAATGTACTTCAGCACCTGCACAAGAATGCAGTCCAGCCTGAGAGCATATATTTCCGTCGATGGGAGACCGGAAACACGATTGGACACACAGCTCTGGGGCAGAATTTCCGAGACCATTTTGAAGTGCCGTATTATGTGGTTCACCGCGCGCATTTTCATGAGGCACTGTACCAGCGGGCGTTGGAGCTCGGCGTGTCGGTAAAACTAGGGTGTAGAGTCAAGGAGTACGAAGAGAGCAAAGGCTCAGTGGTGCTTGAGAGCGGCCAAAGAATCCGTGGAGATCTCATCATAGCCGCAGACGGTAGGTCAATTTCACTTCTGGCATTGATCTGACCCAAGATAAGTTGAATATACTAATGCTACTTGGACAGGTATCAACTCAACGGCACGGGCAACACTATTTCCCGACACCAACAATGAGCCAGATTTTAACGGCTTTGCAGCCTATAGAGCTACAGTCCTCATTAGAAGAATGAAAGAAGACCCAGATCTCGCTTCGATATTAGAAAAGCCAGCTTTAAACATATGGTGCGTATATCTTCTTGAAAAAAACGCTACTCAGCGCCTGCGCAAACTTTGAGCAAACATTTGATCATTCTAATGACTAACAGGATTGGCGAAGACCGACACGTCATGACTTATGCGATCGCGGGCGGAGAGTCATTTAACATGGTCTTGTCTCACATCGACCGTTCAAATCCAGCGACTTGGGCGAAAAAGTTTCTCAAAGAAGATGTTCAGAACGAATTTAAAGGATGGGATCCGAGGTAAGTGCGCAATGGAAGGATATGGTTGTAATAGCTTCTCACAATAGTAATCAGGCTCACAAAGATCATCTCCCTTATCGATGAATGCCTCAAATGGCCTCTAAAAGTTGGCCGCCGACTCCAAACGTGGACGTCGCCTTCGTCTCGGTTGATCATCGTAGGCGACGCTGCCCATGCTATGCTGCCCTACATGTCACAAGGTGCTGCGATGGCCGTGGAAGACGGTGCCGCGCTTGCCGTCGTTCTTAACAAAATTACATCGCTGGAACAACTCCCGTTTGCCCTGCAATTGTTTGAAAAAGAGCGGATGAAACGGTGTGGAGACATGCAAAACGCTAGTACAGTGAATGGATACATTTGGCACTTCCCTGATGGCCCGGAGCAAGTAGCAAGAGATTCTGCAATGTCTGCTGAGGTTGCAGGCCTTCCATTTACTAGTAGCGCTAATCAGTGGAGTGATCCGGTCACACAATGGTGGGCGTATGGATACGACGCCGAGAGTTCCATGGAAGAAGTATGGAACAAATCTATCCGAGAATTGATTGAACGCGCAGCTAAATTATAATTGAACTGGTTGTTTTTTCATGTTGGTCGGCTCATCACGAGGATACTTTTAATATACGAATACAATTCTACTTGTGTTCCTTTTCGTTCTTGTATATCACAGCTAAGTTTCGCAGCTAACGAGGCGATCTATTCACTTTTGTACTTGTGAACTAGGAAATCAGGACATATATAATGGAGCTTAAAGTTTCATGCAGATACACTGATATGCAATGCCTTGGTTTGAAGAAATCAAATGGTTTCCGTAAATGAGAGTCACCTCCTTCTCGCATTTCAGGACACACCGATTTTATGATATGTCCAATCCACTACAATTGATGGTATTCCAATAGCTGGTTAAGTAGTGGGCCAGTGGCCTTCTAAGTTGATGATGGTAATCTTTTATTGGCTGTTTGGCCGTATATTTGCATACAATATCGTTCATAGGTTTGTAAAACACGCACTTTGGTTTAGCAGTTGCATCGCCAAAACAATATGGATCTCGTCATAGGCAAATGATCGAGTAAAACGTGTTCATTGGTCGAAGAGATCTGGAAGCAATTTTACGTTGTCTATATTCCTAATTACATGAGATTTCCGTTCACTGCACGAGTTGTACGCAATTGTGACGCTGGTGTCTTTGCAGCCTGAGGCTTTCCCGCTGATACGTCCAAGGGAGCTTCTGATACAATCGTATACAGCTTTACCTACGTAGCAGCGAGTACCATCCTGGTAGCCGGGCTCCTGTGCCGGTCCCATCAAGTAACGGAGTTCTCGCATTATACTCTAAGCGAAGTGCGGAACTCGGGTGTTGCGCAAGCAAATACTAAAAGCGGGGAGATAAGCAGATTCACTCCGTCACGTGACTCAATTGTGCAAAGGTCCCGAGGAACGACTGGGGAGTTAATCTCTGCTTGAAATCTGCATCACCCTGAGATAACAAATTTTGAAGAAATGTATCTTATTGAATGACTGTAGACGCGGAGATTCCGAATAGCTGTTGCCGACAGTTCCCGATCGTATAACTGGGGTATCTGGGTCACGTCTGTTTTTTGAAGATATAACATGATCTGTTGTTCACAGTTCAGTTCCACACATCCAACTATATTGCACTTTTGAAGTTCCCAATGAGCTCAACCAAGATAATGACGATCCAACGGGAATACGCCAAAGAAGGGGTCGAAGACGATACAGTAACTCAGCAGTTGATTAGAAAGGCCGAGGGTTTGCATACAAAGCCTCTCTGGGCACAGATGACTCGCCTGAACCCTCCTCTTCCTAATCCCAAATGTACACCGCATGTGTGGGAGTACGAGAAGATCCGTCCTAGTCTTCTTCAAGCTGGAGAGCTCATTACCGAAAAACAGGCCGAACGCAGAGTGTTGATGCTTGTGAATCCGTCCAGAGGTACTTCTTGCGTTGCTCCATATATTGAGCGCGTGTGCCGCTAACGACTCACAGATGCTCCTTACACCACTGACACGATTTATGGGGGCCTTCAACTAGTCATGCCAAACGAAACAGCGCCAGCGCATCGACATACTGCATTTGCCTGTCGTTTTATTATCGAAGGGGAAGGTGGATTTACTGCTGTACACGGTCAGAGGATCCAGATGCGGCGCGGAGATGTTATCCTGACCCCTACCTGGAACTGGCATGACCATGGCAAAGACGGCTCTGGACCGATGATTTGGCTAGATGGTTTAGACCTTCCTAACTTTGTCCATTATCCCGTTCATTTTGTGGAACACTATGCCGACCCACGATATCCAGCGAAAGATGTCGACTCCAATACTTCTCCTATAGTCTTTCCATGGGAGCACATGAAAGCCCTATTAGACGCCAAAAGCGAAGATTACAACATGGAGAGATACTTGAAGTCGGATGGGTCTGAAAGTATGTTTTTCAATCGAATTATGCTTCATGAATTTTGAATAGTAAAGCTAATATACTATACAGTTAGTCGCACTTTAGGCGCAGCTGCTATCCGTATATCGGCTGGAAAGTCAACCAAAGCCATTCAAGAAACTGCTTCAGCAATCGTACATGTCATCGAAGGCAGAGGAAAGTCTTTGATAGCAGGGAAAGAATACACCTGGCAGCAAGGTGACACATTCTGCATTCCAGCATGGCACAAATATCAGCATTATGCAAGCAGCAAAGGCACTGTCTATTTGTACATCTGTCATGATCAGCCGATGCTGAAGTCGTTAGGCTTCTACAGGACAAGTGATGATGATATCGAGTCCCTGGCATTTCGTTGATTAGAACCGTACATAGTGAAATTGAATTCTATTTCAGCTCTACAAATAATACTAAATGGCTCAAAACACCACACCAACTTCGAGTTTTCTAGAATAGGTGTAATATTAGCTAAATATATACAAATCTCTTATAAAAAATCG